CTTTGAACCCTTAAGTATATGATATCCTTCCATGGCCCTAATGATAAAATGACATTATGATTAGTGTAAAGTCAAATGTAATGATAATCAATAAAAGAAATTAGATATTTTTAAACAATTTACCTATCTAATAATTGTCTAAAATCCATAGGAGGAAGTTTATGCAACGAGCAAATGCATACAGCTATGTTGTCCATAGGACAAATAACTAAAAGTTTCCAATGAGCACTGCATTAAGAAATTATGAGTAATAGAAAATAGTTTTATAAAAAATTATATTTAATTATATAAAAGTATACTTACACAGAAAAATAAGGTCTTAAAGAGAGTCACTTTCCCTTTGAAAATGACTTAAAAAAGACTCTCTTTATTCATCAAGACCTTAACCCTTTCTCTCACGTTTCCACTAGTCATGAAGTGGAGATTCAAATTTAATTATATAAAAGTATACTTACACAGAAAAATAAGGGGCCAAGTAAACTTTTTTATTTAAGTCAGACATCCAATTTTGAATGTAAGCTTGTATTTCTTCGACCTTGTTCCCACTTTTTTGGATTGATTCAGGTTCCAAAAATCCATATATGTGATCATTTCCCTTATCCACGCTCAATTTATGGATAAATCTACAACGTTAGAAACAATGTTAGAAAAAATCAACAAAATATAATTAAAAATAATTTAAATACTTACAACAACCATAACTGCAAAATTGATATTTTTAGCATACAATGACCATTTGTAATCTCTGATATATCACTCTAACTTATATATAGAGGTACTTTATTAGACATGTTAAACACTTCAGGAGGCCAAGGGAGTTGTTTGGGTTGCTCGTCATCTTCCATATCTGCAACTAATCTCCATAGCCTCTTTATTGGAGGAAGATTTCTAGAAGAGGTAACAATGACCGTCCCTTTACCCTTTGGTGAGGTAACAATATCCTATTCCACAAAGTACAAAATTAATATTATACAATATTATAATAAAATTACACCAACTTAAAATTAAATATTATTTAAATAATATACCTTCGTAGATATCACCTTTACTAACTTATGAGGCCACTGAAGGAAGGTGTTCAAGGCTTGTCCCATTGTCTGAACCTTCTCTGTGGGCACAGGAACTCTAGCCTCTGGTTGTCTCACATCCAACACTGAAACCCTAACCATATCATCTCCCATGACTTGATGGTGTACAGTGGACCCTAATATGTGAATCTGCCCTATACCCACAGGATCGAGTGATCCATCCACAAACAACTCACATTTATTAGATGTACCTTAGGAGAGACCCAACTCATTTTTTTCTTCATCTTTGAACCCTTAAGTATATGATATCCTTCCATGGCCCTAATGATAAAATGACATTATGATTAGTGTAAAGTCAAATGTAATGATAATCAATAAAAGAAATTAGACATTTTTAAACAATTTACCTATCTAATAATTGTCTAAAATCCATAGGAGGAAGTTTATGCAACGAGCAAATGCATACAGCTATGTTGTCCATAGGACAAATAACTAAAAGTTTCCAATGAGCACTGCATTAAGAAATTATGAGTAATAGAAAATAGTTTTATAAAAAATTATATTTAATTATATAAAAGTATACTTACACAGAAAAATAAGGGGCCAAGTAAACTTTTTTATTTAAGTCAGACATCCAATTTTGAATGTAAGCTTGTATTTCTTCGACCTTGTTCCCACTTTTTTGGATTGATTCAGGTTCCAAAAATCCATATATGTGATCATTTCCCTTATCCACGCTCAATTTATGGATAAATCTACAACGTTAGAAACAATGTTAGAAAAAATCAACAAAATATAATTAAAAATAATTTAAATACTTACAACAACCATAACTGCAAAATTGATATTTTTAGCATACAATGACCATTTGTAATCTCTGATATATCACTCTAACTTATATATAGAGGTACTTTATTAGACATGTTAAACACTTCAGGAGGCCAAGGGAGTTGTTTAGGTTGCTCGTCATCTTCCATATCTGCAACTAATCTCCATAGCCTCTTTATTGGAGGAAGATTTCTAGAAGAGGTAACAATGACCGTCCCTTTACCCTTTGGTGAGGTAACAATATCCTATTCCACAAAGTACAAAATTAATATTATACAATATTATAATAAAATTACACCAACTTAAAATTAAATATTATTTAAATAATATACCTTCGTAGATATCACCTTTACTAACTTATGAGGCCACTGAAGGAAGGTGTTCAACTATAGTCTGTCCAAAAATGTCACACGGTAAAATATTTATGTTTCATGACATCTTTTTATGCTTCAAAGATGCGACAAATTTTCTAACTACTCGAACCAACAATAATTTTTTACATGACTACTAGATTAAATTAATAGTTCACATAATAAGTTATGTAATTATCTCAATGACACTTTTTAGGAGAGACTAAAAACAATGACTAACGAAGATTGAAGAATTAAGATTGATTAAAAATTTATTGAGATATTAATTAAGAATGGATTTGATTAAAAACATAATTTATATCAGAATAGACTGAATAGTTAATCATGTGCCAACTCAAGTGACTGGAAACACTATTGTTTCATCCTCACTCAATGGTTGTATTTGATGGCAGAAATCAAATAAGCAATGAATAGTAAAAAGGAAAAAAAAAAGAGTAACAAAATACTCCTTTCATTTTTTTTTTTTGATGTTTAAAGTTTATGCACAAGAATAATTGATATTTTAGTTTTTCAAAATTTTTATTACTTATTTTCCTATTATATTCTTTAAATAGTTGTAGAAGAAATATGTACATTAAAAATGAATAAACACATTGCTCAGTAAACACACATTAATTATCATGGATAAAAATAAAATAAAAAATTAATAAGTCATTAATTTAAAAAAATGACAATAAAAAAATAAAAAATAGTGCTAAAATAACTATAAAAAAATCTAAAAATAAATAAAAAAATGCATGACAGAAATGCAAACCACTACAATATAAATAAGTGAACATGTGATGTCCATGAAAAAATGGACAAAAATGAATTCACACAAAGGGTTAGCATCATAAATGCTTTCTTCCTCTCCCAAGGCATCTACTTGCACCTTCCAAGAAGAGAGAAGAGATGAAAACTCAAACGCAACCCAAATTAAACACAACCCTTCCCTTACCAAAGTAGTGGACAACATTCTACATGGACCACATACATATATACACATCACATGTTATGGTTTGATGGATGCATATGATCATCATTCGTCATGTTAAAGTTGTTTTTTAGGTTCTCCAACACTAAATTGTGAATATGTGAAAGTCTTTGGAGGGGAGCACTGAATTTAGGGGCAATAAATTAGTTGTGAACACCATGTATGCTTTCTCGTGTCCAAATTTGACATAACTATTCACTTTGAGAAGGAACAATGGACTTTTGTTTAGTAGTGTAAACGGTAGTATTTCATCAATTATATCCAACACATTTACAAATTATTTTAAAAATATATTTTTATTCTTAATTATAAGAAAAAAAATACGTATTTTTATTATAAATATAGACAAATTTTAACTACTTTAACTTTATTTAATTATATATTTTTTAAAAATATTAATTTTTAATATACGACTTTTCAATTATATTATTTTTTTTAACATTTATAATAATGATACTTAAAAAAATATTATGAAATTAATAAAATTTAATGTAGAGAATTAATTTTAGTGCGTGGAAAATTAATTTTTATAATAAAAAATATATGAGTATATCATACTTATTAGTGATAAAATAAAGTTATATTATGAATAATATTTTTAATTTGAAGGAATGGCCGCTTTATTCAGAGTTCATTTTGAGAGAGGATTATTGGAAGCAATTCAGTATAAAAATGAGTGGGAACATTACAATTTTAACTTTTTAAATATAATTAATGTTCTAAAAGGGAAAGTATTCATTTCATAGATACTTTCTTCCGTGTAATATTTTCTATTATAAAACTTAAGAGAATTGAGCTTAACTAATGTAAGACGTGTGACCTCATAACTAATGAAATAAACTTTGAATAACTTAATGATAAGCTAGTTAAAATAATTATAAATTATAATTAATTTTAAAAAAAAGTTATAAAAAACAATGATACAGAGACAAATACTAATGATGGTATTAAGAAAACAAGCAACATATAATTAATTAAAAATAAAATATTTGTTATATAGAATATGAAAGTACTGATATTTAGTACTTGTGAAAAAATAATTAAAATGATCTAATACTCCAAAAACATATCTTAACTCTTAAGGACTTTTGTTGGTAAGATTTCTAAAACATATAGACAATAATAGCGGCTATGTTCAAACCATTCTCATTACTCAGTTGTGGAAATAGCTTATAACTTTAGCCGGTTTTGGGAACAAGTAATGGACTACTTTAATTTTCAGAGAATAGGAGTTGCATTACTAAGAAAGAGATAGAGACGGTGCACAAATAGAGTTGGTTAGTTGTTATATTCATTAAATTCAGCCACCAAAAGTTAGGGGCTACATTTCCAAAATGAAGACCCTCTATAATTCTATAACTATAACTTACCTATCTTCACATGCCCAAATTAATTAACCCACTCAATTTCACACTTACACTCCCTCCCCTCACCACCATCTTAAAACACAAATTTTAGAACACCAAAATAGATAAGATCACAACACCACCACCACCAAGATCCTAATGGCTGCATCCACTACCACCACCAGAGTGATGATTGTTGTTACCCTAGTCCTCACATTGGCATGTTGTGCCACATCTGCTCCATCTCCGGCGCCGGAAACTGCTGCGGCTCCGACACCGGAGAGCAATGGATGCTTGATGGCACTAACAAATATGTCAGATTGCTTGACCTATGTGGAAGATGGAAGCAAGCAGGCCAAGCCTGACAAAGGGTGCTGTCCTGAGTTGGCAGGGTTGATTGATAGCAACCCCATTTGCTTGTGTGAGCTGCTTGGCAAACCTGAGTCTATTGGCATCAAGATTGATTTGAACAAAGCCCTCAAACTCCCTTCTGTTTGTGGAGTCTCCACTCCCCCTGTTAGCACTTGCTCAGGTAAACTTCAACATCTTCATGTTTCTTGGCTTAGTTTCATGAATTTGTTGTTAATTATAAGTTGAAACATATTTTGAACTTGTGGATATCATGGGAAATAATCAATCCTCAATACTATACTCTTTGCTTAAGGTGAAGATAGATTTTGCTTGAACCAAATGTTGACACTCAAATTTATAGCCTTTAACTAAAGATTGGTGATGCTGAAAGGAGTAGATTTGAATCTTTTTATATGATGTATATAGCTCATTAATTTTGTATTGTGTTTTTTTTTTAGTAGATTTAAATCTATGAAAGATTGAAGTCTTGGATAAGTTAAGAAACTTGATAGTAGTATATCTGTAGATCCGATAAGTTAGGTGTGGTGTTGCATAAAATATTATTTAGTAATAAACATTTTGTGCATTAATGTGCACCGTCTCTCCAGCGGTGTGACCCTGTGTGGCTAGGAATACGAGGAAGTTCAAATTGAACATGTGATATTACTACATAATTTTTAAATGGTTCATAAATTTAAATACTCTTTTCATTTTATAATTAATGTATTAAAAAAAGTCCTTAATTTTTTAATACAGTATTAATTATTATTATTTTATTTATATTTTTAATAATATTATATACAAAGTAAATTTTGTGTTACATTCTAATCATAAGATTAGTTTTATAAAATTATTATATTTATATTATTATTTTTTTTATGTAAAATAATTTCAGATTGATTAGTTTTTTTATGAGATTGAAAGAACTAGTATTAGAGTACCTTTTATTTTAGCAGCATGAATTTTGTTTCATGTCAAATATTTATCCTAAAGGAAATGAAACTATTTTTGAGCTAAAGTTTGCAAGCTGATCTTCACCCATGAGACTAATGAAGTGGACTAGTGCAGGGACCGCTTAGTTTTTCCTTTTTAATTATTTATTTAAATCAAAATAAATTTAATTATATTTTTATTGTTGTTTTAATACAAATACTGGAATAAGCAAGGTCAGGAACAAACAACACAAAAAAAAAAAACAACACAAAAAAAAAACAAGGTCAGGAACTGATTTATGTTTAAGCAAGGTCAGAGATTCAAATCCTGCCTTGTGTATGCAGTCACGTTAAATTTTGGGGCCAGCTATCCCACCTTTTGAGGTGCCTCCAACCCAGCGAGGAGACTAATCACTACTATCGGCGATAAATACTACAGGGATGAACCAAAAAAATACTGGAATACCAACTATATTATATTTTCAAATCTTAATTAATGCTACTTAATTTACATAATGAATTTAACATTCATTTCTACTAGGTGTTAATGTCCAGCTCAGAAGTAGGAGTAGGTTGTTTGTGTATGATACCCATATTGACAATAAATGTACTGTGGAACTACCATAGTCACCACCTAACTATAACAACACTGTTGTCATTTAGTACTGTGGGATCCATGATAACTGTGACAACAACTCCAATTACTTTATTTGTTCTTTGTTAATGTCAATTGTTTTTTTTTCCCCAACGTATTATATTTATATAATTTTTTATCTTTTATTTTTAAATTACTATTTTGATTTTTTTTATATAATTAGTTTAAATTAGTCACTCAATTATTAAATAATTCAATTTAATTTCTTAATTTTTAAAGTGATATTGTTATTTTCATCCAATTGAATTAAATTATGTTGGTTGTTTATACATTTGGTGAGTAGACATTTCTTTTGTTAATGTACAAGTAATTCTTCTTAGTTAAACAAAAAGACATAGCATGATTTAAAAAATTATGAGTTTAATTTTTTTATATTACATTTGGATATATGAATGAATTACTTGAATTGAATAAAATTCATGCATCAAGAAATTACGCACAATTTATGAAAAATATGTAAGAAAAAAAAATAAAAAATTACAATAATGATATTTATTTATGCATGTTACTCCAACCTTCATCAATAAGTGGACATTAATGATTCTAAAACTTCATTTGTTTTCATTAAACAAAATACAAAAAAAAATTCATTTGTTTTCAAACTAGTTAATTAATTAATTAATATATATTGATTTGAGTGGTACTAAATTGAGTCCTTTTCAATAAGATATCTCGTTCGGTTTTATATATGAAGAAGTGGTCTTGAAACTTTATTAAAGATAATTTAACAAAATTTTAAACAAAGATTAATATACTCCTAATTAATAACATAATTAAATTAATTAATAATAATTATGAGATTCAATCTAAGCAATTAAAGGATTAAAATAGATGTTAATTGAGTTAAGTTTGATCTTTATTGTTATTACTATAATTAATGATAATATTAATTAAAAACTATTTAATTAATGGTAGTAATGAACAAAGTAAATTCCTTGAATATGCATATTGGAAACTATTTTTAATTTCTTGTTATTGGACAGCTGTGGGAGTCCCTGTGTCCTTGCCTCCATCACTGAGTGAAGGTCCTGCTTCATCAAGTAAGTGATCCACCACTTTATTATTTTGCATCCCATTCATTTTATATTTCATATTTCATTCTAATATGAAAAAAAAAAACATTTTAAATCCATTTCAATAATTTTCTTTAACATCTAGTTCCTCCCCTCCTCTCTCCCACAAATCATTGTTCATTATAATTTTAAAAAAACTGTACAGAGCTTAATTACACTTTTTGTCTATAAAGTTTTACAATTTTATAAATTTTTCCCTCAAAAAAGTCTTATGTGAATTATGCTCCCTCATAGTTGTGACAATTTTATACACAAGGACAAAAATTATTATTTTACAAGTTATGCAAAATTAGTAAACAATTTTTTGAAGATAAAATTTACAAGATTGTAAAATATTCAATTTTATCGAATATTAATTCCTTTCAAACTACTTTATGTCATACTAAATTTTATTTGTCAAAAATATAATGAAGGTATCGCACCAGGAGCCTCTAGTCCTTCAAATACAAATGCTCCTAGTCCTGGTACGTCATTGGAAATTTTGCATCTTATTATTTCAATACTTATGTACGTGTAGAGGAAATGTATCATATGAATATGTGAAATAGGTTAATTAGATCTTACAAATAAAATGTAGCCAAAATTAGATTTAAGTCAAATCATATCCACATATTGTTATATGATAAAAATCAACTCTCACCCACATTAATTTTCACTACATAAACACAAATATGCAGTTACTTAAGTGTTTTTAGTATATTTTTTTTTTAATACATCGTTTCATCATAATTTTTTTAAAAGATTTTTTAATTAAATTCTCAAACTAAATTTTTTAAATTAAATCCTTTATCTTTTTTTTTTTATATATTTTTTATTTAATCCCTAAAATTAGAAATATGTTTATAATTTATAAAATTTACAAAAAAATTCTTGATACATATTATAATGATGATGATCATAATAATAATAATAACAATAATAATAATAATAATAATTTAGTTTTGCAAATATGTAAATATTAAGAATATTATATGAAATTTCGTGAATAAATTTTTAACTACAAAGGCTAAATTATAAAAATGTAAAAAGATTAAAGACTTAATTATGCATATTTTAGCTTAGAAACCTAATTGAAAATTTCATAGATCACATGATATATTAAACTTTTTTTAATAATAAAAAGTAAAATTTTACTTCAATAATACACATTATAAATATAAATCATATTTATTTATTTTTTAAATCAATTTATATATGTCAAATTAATGTTATTTTTTTTAACCGTTAGTCTAATAGTTAGGTGAGGAGGGATTGAAGTAGTTAGAAATATGAAGACCTATGTTCAATCTCATTGTGACTATCTTTGTAATCTTTCCTATCTTAAAAAAAAAAAAACTAACATTTTTTTCCTTGAAAACTAAATTTTAAATTATTATAGGATAGTAGATTAGTAGTATTTGTTGTAATTGAAGATCTTTCAAATAGTTATAGAAATTGAACCCATCTATAAAATTGTTTATTGTATAATACAAAATGATGCAGGTGGTCCAGGTCCTTCTGAGGCAGCTTCTGCCAACCCTTCTGACAACAAAAATGGAGCTTTAAGCTTTCAAGCTTCTTCTATGAATTTCATTTTTGGCCTCTCCACTCTCTTTGTCTCCCTATTCTTCTGATTTTACACATTTATTTTCTGTGTCATTATTTTAGTGAATCTTTTATTTCCTCATTATTTCTCTATGTTGTGAGCTACTATGACTAAAGCTTTTGTTGTAATTTGATGCACCATTCCAATTATTGTTGTCATTATTAGTAGTGAATTACGACACACTTTAATTAGGACCTTCTTTGCTTGCATTATTACGCAGATCGACTTTTTCATTTTTTGGTTTTGTATTTGTTGTTTTTCTTTTCAAGTAAATAATAATGCCCTATTCCAATATGACAAAATAAACTGAATCCCTTTGAAAGAATTAATTTTAAACCCTTGATCGTGATTAAGGTGCGAGTCTAAATTAATTTTGGACACAGATTTTGTATATAATTATTTATTTATTTATTATGGAAGAGTATTTTTCGTCAAAGAGACAATTAGTTTGTAAAGTGTGGGTAATTGTCAAAGATATCAGCGGATTTAAATCATCAATGGATTAACATTTTATAAACACGCATTTGAAATGCCTACGAATGTTCATCTTTTTTATCTACAATTTCTTGAAAATTCGATTGCATCTATACAAACGAAAATTTACATATTTCTATGCATTAAATTAAGAAGTAAGAATTCTTATCTTTTTGGTTCAACATAATTTTATTGATTTTCAACGATAAACCAAACATACACGAAGAAGTAGTTCCTAATTTTATAAGATATAAGAACAAATAGATCATATATTGGGCGGAGACAGGAATTTTAATTATTTAGGGTGGGTGGGGATATAAAAAACTATGACTTAGAAAAGAATATTAATTTTTCATATGCACGACATCATTGACATGCGAAAGAAATTTAACATATAACTAATATTTTCTTATCACCAATATATATATATATATATATATATATATAAAAGGAAGGTTATAATAACACTAGTGTAACTTTTATTAAGTATTACATCGTTCAATAATTTTATATTAAATGTGAATTTTGTAAATCCAATCGTTAGATTGAAAGTTCTTTACTCTTAAATTATATATACAAAATTTTATATTAATCCAAGATAATTTGACACTTCATTTTTATAGAACAAAATTGACGTTATATATTTATTTTATTTTTATATTAATTCAATATGATTTCACATTTAATATAAAGTTATTGAGTGTAACTAATATTATTATAATCTTTCTCTCTCTCTATATATAATTCTATTGAGCATAATTAAGAGATACTAATTGATAAATGCAGCTAGCACAACAACTCCCAATGATTACTAGGAAAAAAAAAGTACCCCTAAAAAATAGCATCTCTTATTAGGGATGGCAACGGGGCGGGCGGGTACGGGTTTCATGATACCCGTCCCCGCAATTAGGTTATTTCTCTATCTCATATTATAATAAATAATCACACATAAAAAAATATTAAAATTCTTTAATATAATTAAATTGAAAGTAGATATTAAATTAAAAATTGGAATGAGGACGGGTATGGGTACGGGCACGGGGCGGGTAAGTACATACCCGTACCCGTACCCGTACCCGATTTAATATATCGGGTTTTACCCGTACCTGTACCCGTACTCGGTCAAACCGGGTATTCCCCGTCAAAGTCGGGACGGGTTCAGGTATTACCCGCGGGAACGGGTATATTTGCCATCCCTATCTATTATCCTTTAAATGGAGATAAAACTTGTAAAATATCATACCAACATCAAAGTACCCCTAAAAAATTAGAAAAAATATATAGCATCTCTTATCCTTTAAATAGGGATAAAACTTGTAAAATATCATACCAACATCAACGTTTGTCATCTCTTTATAATAAAAAAGTTAAAATACTTTTTTAATATATATATATATTCACTTACTCTATCTTTCACTCAATTTTTATAGTTTAAAATAGATATTTTAAGTTCTTATATTTCATATATATATATATATATATATATCTTTTTTTGTCTCTGTACTAATAATTTTTAAAAAAAAAAATTAGTTCAAATCATTAATTATTTTTTTTTTAATGTTTTGTTTTGCGTTAGTGTGATAGATATCTCAATTTTGTAAGAGTAAAAAAAATGTCTCAATAAGAGCATCGTATGTAAAGGTATAAAAGAGACATAAAATATCGAGATGTCTAGTTTGAAACGACCGCAACAAAATAAATTTGACATAAGATACATAATAACATAATATTAAATTAATACTTCTATCACATTAAATAAAATAGGCAACATTACAAAAAGAATTAACGACAAGGATTAAAAGAATTAAAAAAAATTACAAGTATAAAGAATTAAAAGATCTAAATTATTATAGAGCTTAAAAAGATTTTAAAAAATAAATATAAAGACTAAAAATGTCTATTTTAAACTATAGGAGCTAAAAGGTAAAATAAATGAAATTAAAAAAACTCAAAAATATTTTAACCTAATAAAAATGTAATGTTTCAACAATATCAATGAAAATCAACATGCAAGATTTAACAACTAATTTTAGAATATAAAAATATATAACAAGAATAAACACATACTATCACTTTTGAAGTTGTGCTTGTTTTTTTTCAAAGTCAAAATCATCGGTAAAATTTTTAATAATATTTTATTGGCTAAAAATCTATTTTGGTCCCTTATAATAATTATTTGTTTCAATTTAGTCTCACTTTAATTTTTGGTTTCAATTTGGTCCCAAATAAAAATTGATTTCAATTTGGTCCCTAATAAATTAATTGATTTCAATTTGGGACTTCCGTCCAAATTATTTAAACGGAGTTAACTGTTGGCTACGTGGATGCCACGTAGATGCATAGGTGGATACCACGTGAATGCCATTTTTTTTAAAACACCTGGAACTAGAACGGCCCGTTCTGAAACCAGAACGGGCTGTTCTGGTTGCACTTTTGATGTGTTAATTTTACATCCGGAATGGCCCGTTCCAGGTGCAAAATTAACACACTAAAAGTGCAACCAAAACAGGGCGTTCTGGTTTCAGAACGGGACGTTCTGGTTCTAGACTGCTAAACATAAACGATCAATGATTATAGTTCATGGTTGTGAATCATGGAAGGAAAAAGACCCAAGGTACAAAACATTTCAAACACTGAATTTGGTAATATTGTCAATGGAAATTGATAACTTCAATTGCTAAACAGTTAGGCTATACGGTGTATTATTAAGGACAATGCAATGTATCACTAAAGACAATGGTAGCATATTTTATTTCATTTTAAACTGGAGTGAACCACTTACTACCAAATTGACACTATACAGTAAAGGATGAAATGACATGGTATTTTTCCTTGAAGTCATTAACGATGTACCCCAACAACAAAAATCTGTTCTTAAAGAGGTAGAACCTGAAGTAAAGGAAGAGGATACACAGGACTAACATTTCACCACACAACCATATACAGGGACAGATCTAAGTTAATCATAGTAGGGGCACTTGCCCTCACTAAAATTTTTTTCATTCTTTTTTTTTATATATAAAATATTAATAATTTTATAAAATATATATTATTAACTATTTTAATTATGTTGTTATATCTAATATAATAAATATCAAAATTTTAAGAATTTAATTGTTAAATTAAAAAGTTTTTCATGTATAGATCTGTTCCGGCCAAGGGGTGCACTAGGGTCTCTTCCTAGGTTAAGCCTCAAAGCTAGAGCATTCAAAAGTGTACTCTGCCTTCTCAACTCTAGGGTTTTTTCCTAGTTTACGGGCTTCATGGGCCCCGAGAATGTAGGGATTTCCTTAACCGTTTTGATCTGGCTAAGATTTGGTGAGGGACAGTGGGACCTTGCCCTTGCTATCGGGTAGTCCCTGTATGCAAAGGTTGTGTCGATCGCTGACTGACTATACATGTACTGAGGGTACAGTCGGGTATTGGCCGAGTCGGTTTGGTAGGCGGAAGGGGTCGGAAATAGACCGACCAGGTTAAGCAGAGAAACCAAGTCGGATAATAACCGAACCACTCTTAGGGGTGGTCGGCTAGAGCTACAGTTGGCCTGGTATATGTAGGAGGCAGGTCGGAATCCGACCTGGACCGTACACTAGCCCTCCAGTGCTGAGCCTATTAGGCGGAAGGGCTTTGGTAGACAGGGGGTCGGCTTAGCCATGGCCGACATGTCCCTCGTGGAGGCTCCTAGTCGGATTCCATCCCGGACCGTACACTAGCCCTCCAGCCTTGAGCGTGCAAGGCGAGAAGGCTTATCCTCAGCCGATACATACAGTCGGATTCTTATTAAGCACACTTTTATGACTAAGGCAAGGAACGGGCCGAGAGAGTTCACGGACTCGTTATCTCAATTCGTTGCTCCTTGGGCTCTGGTAGGGGACGTCTTTTCAACTTACCCATGAAGAGACACATATTTATTGCGCAGCAGCGGTTGCAGGGTGATAAATGATGATGCTGCCACGTGGCAGCGTCCATTAATAAAGCTGGAATGGTGGGGCCCCTTATGGCCAGGGGTTGCGGCTTCCACGCGCTTAGTGACCCTTGGGTTTTGACTCTTCACATGCGGCCCCTCATCCCTATAAATATGGGTTGTCTGCCTAACTTTACATTTCTTTCTTACTCTTTTTCGCGCCTCTTTACCTCTGGTGGTTTCCCTCTCCGTCGTAATCCACGGTGGTTCGCGGTGGTTCTGAACTGTGTTTAGGGTGGGTGAAGTTGGAGTGTGAACCCTTAGGTACGCGTATCTATTCTAATTTCTAGTAGTTTTTTCTTGCACACCCTCGAGTTGTAGGTTAAGTTAGTCTTATTTAATCAAATGGCTACCATAAATTATGGGGAATCATACAAATGGGTTAGGGATGATGTGTTAAAAAGTGATTCTTCAATAAACTCATGGGCCGCCATGGACAACTTTCGTAGAGAGCATGTGGTATGCTGTGAGGGTGATGACATGGTTGTTTGTGAACCATGTGTAGACAAAGAGCCTGTGTGCCTCAGGTCCTCCTCAGTTGAGCGCTTTACTTTCTGTTATACAACCCTAATTTCCAAGATCAAAGTGAGGTGGCCCTTGACCGAGTGTGAGAAAGGAGTGCTCAAATCGTTGAACGTAGCCGCCACCCAATTTCATCCCAATAGTTGGGCTTTCGTTCAAGGATTCGAGATTTTATGCGAGGGACTCGGCATAAGGCCGACTTCTGATAAATTTTTTTATTTCTTTGAGATTCGAGTGACCAAATGTAGCAGCTAGGTGTCGGTTAGTGGTGTT